CTACCAGAGGCATGCATGAAGCCCCAGCAGTGGATGATGCCCCAGGCATGGATAATGCCCCAGGTGTAAATGAATGCCTCAGGTGTGGATGATGTTCCAGGCGTGGATGATGCCACAGCAGTGGATGACGCCCTAGGCGTGGATGATGTCCCAGCAGTGGATGATGCACCAGCAGTGGATGATGTCCCAGGTGTCGATGATTCCCCAGCAGTGGATGATGCTCCAGGTGTGGATGATGCCACAGGCATGGATGTCCCAGTAGTGGATGATGTCCCAGGCATGGATGATGTCCCAGCAGTGGATGATGCCCCAGCAGTGGATGATACCCCAGCTGTGGATGATGCCCCCAGTGTTGATGACGTCCTGGGTGGGGATGATGTCCCAGGTGTCATGTCCCAGCAGTGGATGATGCCCAAGGTGTGGATGATGCCCCAGGTGTGGATGATGCCACAGCAGTGGATGATGTCCCAGCAGTGGATGATGTCCCAGCAGTGGATGATGTTCTAGCAGTGGATGATGCCCCAGGTGTGGATGATGCCACAGCAGTGGATGATGTCCCAGCAGTGGATCTAGCAGTGGATGAATGATGCCCCAGGCGTGGATGATGCCACAGCAGTGGATGATGTCCCAGCAGTTGATGATGCCCCAGGTGTGGATGATGCCCCAGGTGTGGATGATGTCCCAGCAGTGGATGATGCCCCAGGCTTGGATGATGCCCATCTGTGAATGTCCCTGATGTCTCAGCCATGGATGATGATTCAGCTGTGGATGATGCCCCAGCCATGGATGAAAGCCAACAGTTGTTTTCAAGAAAAGTCTAGTACACAAGTCATTAGTGAGATTTATCAAGGAAAAAGGGAAATCACAAAATTAGTATCAGAAATTAATAGGAAGACATAACCACAGAGAGAGTAGAGATTACAAAACAATGAGTGAACATTATGAATACATAACTTGTTTTAAAGCAACATTTTGTTTCACTTTGGCTGGTGTCCATATGCTGCAGTAGCCGGCCAATAGTGGGAGTCTCCTCATGGAGGAGGCTTGGGTCGCATGCACAAGAGAGTTGCCATGAGGGGATGGAAACCAGGCTACAAACCAAGTGCTGCACAGAGTTCCTACCTGTCCCTCTCCCTCACCATTTTCAGCTGGCCGGGTTTGAGCATTTTAGGGCTTGGGAAGATATTACTACATCTACTAAAAATCATCACGGATCCTTATGTGCTTTGGCCAGCTGCTGAGCAAATTAACTTCACACCTGAAGTGGGCTGCACTGGCCTGTGCGGTCCCCCACTCCTCTTAGAATTTGTGAGCTTGGGGCCTGCTGGAGGGTGGACGGTGGGAGGAGGGGGAAGATCAGGAAAATAACTGATATTAAGCTGAATACGTGGATGATGAAATCACCTGCACAACAAATGCTTCATGACGCACGTTTACCCATGTACCAAACCTGCTCATCCCGCACAGGTTCCCCTGAACTTAAAAATTAAACAAAAAACGACCTGTGAGCTGACCCAAACAAACATCTTTGTGCTTTTCACACTGATGACTGCCGGTCTGTGGGGAGATGTACCTGTAACTGCCCTGGGTTGTGTGACCATGGAGGCCACTTTATAACCATGGGCAGTGTCTGGGAATTCCTTAGGGCTTAAACACGAATGCTGGACTCCCTGCATGGTGGTCAACACCCCATGACTGAGAGCATGCCAGTAGTTGCCAGTGTCAGCACTGGCCTAGACTCCTGGGTTTGTGTTTTCACTTTTTCATTCAGGAACTCAGGAGCTGGGGCCACCCCCTGGCCCTTCAGGTTCTCCACCTGAGCTGTGAGGATAATAAACCAGACCCAGGGATGGCTCTGGTGAGGGTGGAGGAGTCACTGTACAGACAGAGTAGAGTGGGGCTGGATTTATTCTTTAAAAGTAGACACCGGAGAACGGGCTGTGTAAATGGGAAATCTCTCCTGAGAAAACACACAGCCTCACCTGCACAGAAGCACACACGTTCACATCACATGATGCAGCCTCACACAAGACACCACCAATCCTAGAGCACCAACTCAGTACCAGCCAAAAGGGAGCACAGATGCTGCCTCAAAATTTGGCCATGATTTTTCCCCGGGGAACTCAGGTTTCTAAAAAACACTTTCACTATGCTTATTCCTATCACAATCCCAGAATCAGCGTGGCACTGCACATTGAAACCAGCTTTTTTCTTGACAATAATTCCAGAATACTTACCAGAGTCACACTTCAGATAAAACACCGGCACTACCTGCAACACAGAAACAAAGCTTTATGAGGGGCACGTCGTGCTGTGGATTGTTTGCAAAAGGTTCTGTTTCTCTCAATGAATACTGAAAACCTGATCACAAACTTAGTCAGTTGCTACAGTAATCAAAACAGCACGGTACTGGTACCAAAACAGAGATGTAGACCAATGGAACAGAAAAGAGGTTCATTGGATGGGACAGAATGGGAGGCCACAGAAGCCTGGGATAGATTTCATGTCCCCACAACACAGCAGTGAGCACACTTCATGGCGTGCTGATTGAATGGTACGACTGAGGACTGGGTGATTGTTTGATTGTATGTTTTTATTCCAAGAGGCTCAACAACATGCTCTATGGAAGCATGATCCTTCAAACGCACTCATCTATCCTTTCAGTAATTTTTCACTCCCTCAGCCAAGAGCTTCTCCATCTGGGTTTCTGCAACACCAATCTCAAACCCATAAAGCATGGGTCACAGCAACCCCGCTAAGCTCACACGCCCAGCTGTGGAAGCAAACTTCACTTTATGGCAAGTCTACTTTGCCACTACAGGCAGTGCAGCATGTTAGTTTATAGATTAGCCTTTGGTGTTAGAGAGGTCCAGCTGTGGGTGTGTCCCGTGAATAATTTACTTAACTGAGATTCACATTCCTCATCTGTATAATGAATAGAACCAAACTATGCCTCAAAGTGATTGTGATGCTTCAAAGAGGCAACATAGAAAAGTGACCACATAGTATCCAAGACTCAAATGTGTATCACTTATCCTTATAACTTAAGCAGCTGTTATCAAGTACAGTCATATGGCATAGTGACATTTTGATCAATGATTACTTACATGGCTGGGGTCAGATGGGCGTACACAAACCTACTGGCCTGCATCATTAGATTAAAAGAAAATTTTTTGTTAAAAATTTTAAGTAAGATGCTATACAATTGAAAGACTAACCACAGTGATAGAAGTTTCAGGGAGAGATAAAACTAAAAGTGCACAAGGATTTGGAGAAATGTCTCCTCACATATGCTGCCACAGGAGCATGAATTAGTGACACCATTTTGAAAAATATTTGGCACTATTCATGGCAATAAAAGATATGTTCCCTTCTAACAATCTACTTCACAGAAGTGAGTGCCAGTATTATTCCAAAGCCGGTTACACTTACGAACGTGAATGAATTTCAAATCATAATGTGAGTGAAAAGCCAGACTCCAAGAATCACATATTGACTTATTCTATGTATGACAGTCCAAACCTGGAGAGGTCTAAACAAGGTCATTAGCAGTCAGAGCAGGTCCCTTAAGGAAGAAGATGAATAAAGGGGGAGGGAAATTTCAGGGAGGAACCAGGGATGTCTGCACTTGTGCCATCTCACCCTCTCAGATGTCAGGGTCCCAAAAGAGGGTGCTGGCAATATTTAGGTGGTTCAAAGGTCTCATGAAGAAAAGCAAATGACAGACAGCAGCAAACTCAGTTCTTTAATGAAGTGCCCCAGACTGAATCGAGGGTGTGCACTTAGTTTTGCATCTTATTATGTAAAATGAGGATCCTCCAGAGATAAAAATGTCATCCATAGCACAGCATGGACAGAATTATATGCTATCAGCACATTTTATCCTATGGAGTTTCCTGCACACCTTTTAGCAATCTGTGAATAAAAGGTCCAGAACTTAACTTTTAATATCAACTTAGAGAACAACGGAAGCCTAATTTTTGAAGACAGGAAATAGTGTAATGCCATCTTCTGTGGGAAGAAATTACAGAACTGGAGAGAAAGAAGCCTCATCTCAGAATCTGTGGTAGGGGTGGGAAGTGGAGGCTACAAATGTGCTCAAGGTCAGACTCCTTCTCTGCCTTCCCAGGAGACTGGAGACCTACCAGCGAGCCCAGAGTGAACATTCACTCTGCCATCCACCCCTGGGAGATCCCTTTAAACCCACAGAGAGGACAGAAACATAAACGTGCTATAACAAGTCTTAAAAGTTCAGAGGGTGATTATCAATTTCCCCTTAGCACACAGCAGAGTTTTTTCTCTAAGTTCAAGTAAATGCCTGTGAGAAAGATGCTCCCACAGATTCCTTCCTTTCCTTACAGATGACTCTCAATGCCCAGCCCTACATCCCTTGTGCATATTCCCAAGGAGTGCTGATTAATCCAAACCAAAGGTTTGGATGTTTCACTGGGCAGAAAAAAGCAGGCGTACTGCAGAGATCAACTCTAATGAACACAGCACCCTACCTTTATGACGACAAACTTTGAAAAGAGCAAACCAAACCTCGCACACATTTTCATTTTCTTTCTGATTTCATACCCCCTGCTTCAGCCCCTCAAGCAGTGGGGATAACCTGAAGGTGAAGACTCTTAGGAACCCTTTCCCATTAGGTCCTACCTGGAAAGTAATTCCCTACCTTGGGGATCGTCTTCCTTTGCTTTGAAGACGCTCCCAAGCCAGCCTTTAAAAACAAAAACATCAGGAAAAGTCATTAAAAAGAGAGACTCACCCACTCCTCTCCCAGAATCTAAAGCCATGTGGCCTCGCACATCATTCCCTGGTCTTTGTTCTGAGTCGATAAACCTTCCTACAGCCTCTCTGGCTGGAGTTCTACATTGGCCAAATCACTTTCTCTCAGGAGACCCCCAATCCTCCTTCCCAGCGGGATCCCGGAATCAGGTTTCTATACGCTCAAGCGGCCAGTTGGTCCCTCATGATGTGAGTTACTTCATGTTCACCCTTTTCTGGGATATTCCCTGCAATTACATAAAAGAAAACATTATGAGGCTGAGACTCTGTGGTGTGCCTCACATAGATCTGTTATTCCCTTGGCAAGGGTAGAGAACAAGAAGTGGCACAGCGGCTGAGCCATAGGTCAACATCCTCAAAATCATGAGGATGCTTATGGAAAAACAAGCTCTTTATTCACAGAATTCACCTTTAAAGTCGATTTAATGGGCAAACACACAATGCTTAATCCAAGGAGGAAAATGTGTTGAGGAAAGTGCCTCTGCATTACAGCCGATAATGGATGCTATCATTTGAAAACCTCCCAGTGTATTGCGTGTTATTTGGGAAGACATTCCCACTGAATTTCACCCCCACAAAGAGAATTGCATACACTGTACATAATGTACATTTTCAGATTTTCATATCCAGATTAATTGAGAAGAAATCACAAAAGCGAAATTTCTTTAGAAGACAAAGGAGTCTTACGTCCAGATCTTCTTCCTCTGTCTGGGATCTGAGTCCGACCGTGCTCGCCAGGTCACTTGACGACACTGGAAGTACACAGAAAAAAGCTCAGTACCCTGGTGGTTGGTGGCTGGGATATGGAGGTGGGTGATGATCAGGCATGGACTGAGTTGCTGATGGGCTGTCCCCCTGGGTGGAAGAGGGCTGGCAAGGGAGGGCAGCGGGAAAGAGATGAGACATGGAGGTCTCCGCCTCATACTAGAGGCATCATGCAGCAACACAGAAGAGTCAACAGAAAAGGGAATCTCAAATGCACACTAAGGTTCAACGGAAGAGTGCCTTCCTACCTCTCACACGTTTTGAAGCTCTTTAAAAAAACAAACAAACAAAAAAAAAAAACCAGCACATTCAAGACTACATCAGTACTCTAGGACCCAATCGTGCTGGTGCTACATTTAGCATCAGTTTTAAAGATGCATAATAAAAACCTGGGTCTACCCAGCCCCTTATCTGAACCCTTCTATTGATTCCAGGTTTTTAAACTCAACCAATTGACGATCAAAAAATCTTGAAATCTTCCTTATGACCTGGAGCCCCAACCTTCTCCCAATTTCTGTTGTCCCATCTTTCTCAATGGAAGAAATTGACATCTCGAATGTATTAACTGATGTCTTATGTCTCCCTAAAACATGTAAAAACCAAACTGTAGCCTGATCACCTTGGATATATGTACTCAGGACCTCCTGGGGCTGTGTCGCTAGCATGTCCTTAACCTTGGCAAATTAAACTTCTAAATTGAGACTGGTTTTAGATAACCTTTTGGTTTGCAATGTGTAATCACAGTGAGGTTTATTTTTTTCGAAGAGGACACTAGGGATTTGTTGTGTCAAACAGAAATAACAATATATGTTTATGTGATTTATGTCCCAGGAACATTTTTCCATTTATGGATTCACATGAAGGAAAACGGCTGTCACATAAATGGCTGTCGCTGCTCCTTGAATAAAAGCTAAGTTGATCAGACAGACGGATTCAATTCTAGGCAAAACAGTCTATTTTAGTTATGTACTGAACTTTTGTTATAGCCAATGATGGAAGAATTGGAAACATTGAAATTATATTCTATAAAACAACTGGTGTTCATCACACGAATATTTCCTTCTTCAGTCCACCTTTCCATTGTCATGCAGGTGCAGTAATTGCATATGGAGGATACCTATGCTCCTTTTCTGTCTTGTCATTGTGTCTAATTAATGTAGTTTGCAGAAGTTGATCATTTCTAGGTCTTGTGGTGATAAGAGTTTTCAGCTATCTCAAAAATATCCCATTCATCTTATTTGTTTGGGGCCAACTGCTGAGGAATGTCCCCAGCACTGAAGGGAGTTTCTCAATATTTCTAAGTACCGCTTCCTAATATTCAGAACTTGCACTTGACCCTGTTGTCAGGGGTATCTAAGGCAGCTCCATAGTATTCACACCAATGGCCATCCTGCAGTTACATTCACTGTTGTCTGCCCTAAGCCACGTGACTGCTGCAGCCATCTTGGAATCATAGGCAGTGTTTGGGATCTCTGTAGACTCATGTGTGAGGGAACCAACTTACAGCTACCCACGATGGTAGGGTTGAGAGCCATCCTCCTCAGGGTAATGACTGCAGTTCAACAATTCATTATCAATTCAGCTTTAGAGCTATAACCCTAGGTTCATATCTTGCCTCCTTCCTTTAGGGGCTTAAAAGCATGGGCACATTCATTAGCCCTTCAGTTTCTCCATCCAAGGGGTGTGTGGATAGTAAACAATCACTGTTTAGGTGAGCTCTGTAGCGAGGATTGAATGGGTTTATTAAAATAAACTGTGTATTGTAGATCTTCAGAATGGTAAATTAAAAAAGAACTGACTTGCTTGATATCTCAAAGCTTAACACATTCCAGGCCTGCACGCATACCCAAGAGATGAGCTCCCAAGTCAGGGGTGATGCCATAAACTGCTCTGTCCAAAAAATAGTCATTTCAACTTAACTCTAACCTTGGGACAAAAGCATGAGATATGAGTATCAAAAATGCTTTTGGTGACATCCCAATTCCACACAGTAGCTACTTCTGAAAAAAAGAAAATGTAAGTGCATGCCGTCTACAAAATGAGTCAGTGACCTGATGAAAAATCCACAGAGACCTGGTCAAATGGAATGAACACCAGTTTACTTGGGGAGGAGAATTATCTACCATATTGGAAGGTTCCAGGCATGTGACATCATATCCTGTATGATTTCTTTCTCTTAAATGAAAAGTGGCTCAAACTGAGGCTGTTGCCAAGTTATGGAGATGACCGTGGCTTAGCCTTGGCAAAGTGCTCTGGATAGTGTCACAAGGGACCTGATTTGTGCCTTCCTTCCTTCTGAGGAGGGTAACAGGTGGGTGAAAGCATATTATTCATATCTCTGTACATAGGGAATTTTGAATAATCCACAAACTATGTTTTCGTAGGTAAACTGGCCTAGACACAGATATTATCAGTATGTATTTGGGAAAACTTGTGATATGAGTAGAAGTAACATGCTCTCAAATACTGTGAACTAAATATACATTTAGGCTGATGAAAGGAGGGAAGCCATGGGAATAGCAATATTAGGTTTTCTTCTTGTGCGTTTTCCTTCACATTTCCACATTCCAGATTCACTTCAGATTCTGAAGTCTAGAGTTTAAAAGATAACTGATGGTGGAAAGAAAGAAGCACAAGAGACGTCAGGTATGCAGAATCTAATCAGAAATACTGTATTTTACTCTATGGAAAAATAATAAACATACAATAGCATGAACAAAGAATTAAAACTATAAATGATGGAATAAGTAGGCAAAGTATTTCCTGAACGACCTTACTGAACCACTAATTGGAAGGACACCATTCAGTAGGTGAATATGAATAGACTTTCACAGTCACAATATGCCTGAGGAGAGGTATGAAGCTTCTTTCACATTCTGCATATGGAAAATCGGAGATAGTCTACAAGGATGCTATTCATGCTAATAAATTCATCAAAATTGCAGAGTACAAGGTTAACACTCAAATGGCAGTTGTGTCAATATGCACTCAATATCAACGATCCAATAGCAAGATTACAAATGTAATTCCATGGATCATAACCTCTGAAATCATTAGATACTTAGGATCTAACCAATGAGATGAAATACTCATAACCTGGTAAGAACAGAATGTGACTGAAAGGAAGGAGAGAAGGTACAAATAAATGAAAAGGTGTCCCATATTCACAGACAGGAAGGCAAAAGCTGACTAATACACAATACTACAAAATGATCCAAAGATGCACAACAACTACTATCAAACTGGTAACAACCATATGTGCAGAAATAGAAAAGATAACCCAACATTTTTTTTTAATTCTTATATGTCTCAATCATAATAATGTTGAAAAAGAATAACGTTGGCAGATACGCATTCATGAGATTGAAATCTGAGAGGAAAAGATACAGAAATTCAGACAGCAGGGTCCTAGCACGGGGGCACCCGTTAAGTATTGGAAATATGGAATACAGATCCCAAAATTCAACGCATGCATACACAGCCAACTGATCTTCAACAAAGGTGCCGAGAATGCACAATGGGAAAATAAGGTCTCTTTAACAAATAATGGTAAAATCCATATTCTCATTTAAATAATGAAATTGAGCAGTGTGCTCAAGGGTGTGCTTCTTCCTCCATTTACAAGACACCAGAGCTTTGCAATGACCCCAGAGCAAATCTTCATCCTGTCCCCCATGCCCAGACTGAGCCCTTGATAGCAGGAGTAAATAGCAAGGACAGACAAATGAATGTGCTGCCAGAAGGTGAGCATCAGTTCATCCCAAGCATCTGGGCACACTGTGGAAGACTTGTTGTCTTCAGGATTAAGTAACTGCCATGACAGAACTGTGTCCCAAACCAAAGGCTTTACAGAGGCAGAAAAGAGGTATCCTTAGAAAGACCATCTTTAAATAATAAAGCAAGAACAGGGGACACACAAAAAAGAAGAAAAATAAAAAAGAAGAGGTGATCACAGACAGGGTACTCACACTTCTCACCACTATGACATTAAACTCTGACAAGAACAAACTTCAGCCACGTTTTCTTTTTCTTCTCTTTCTACAGGCTCACTCAGCCTCCCAAGCAGCAGGCAGAAGCTGAAGGCTCCTGGGAACCTGCTTTATTAGATTCCACCTGTAATCTTGTTGCCTACCTGGAAAGGTGTCTTCTTCACTGTTGAGATTTTCCAGAATCCACTCTTTAGAACCACCAACAGCAGAGTAAGTCAGAGAGAGGTGCACTCACTTCTACTCCAGGTGAAGCCACGTCGGCTCACATAACATCCCCTGGCTGGTCCTCTGGGTTCACATGCATTCATACAGTCCCTCTGATCATAGTTATACACTTGCAAAATTATTTGCTCTCACCCCCCAATATTCTTTAACCAGAACCCAGAATCAGGTTTCTATATATGAAAAACAGCAAGTTTGTTCCACAGCAAGTGAGCTACTTGAGGGTACATACCGTCAACAGCGAGTGATGAACCCTGCAATTAGACAAAACAAGATGCTATGAGGATCAGATGAATTCTCCTGCACCCCCGCCCCCACTCCCACAGATCTGTCAGTCTTTTGATGACTTCAGGAAACTAGTTGTAAGACAATGGTTGAGTCAAAGGTCAAGAATCAAACATGCTAGAATAGAGGACACCTGTGGAAAAGACAAGACCTTTCCCACAATTTATCTAGAAGTCGATTTACATTGGCAAATACACAATGCCTAAACCAAAGAGGAAAACTGGTGTTGAGGAAAATTCCTCTGCGTTACAGTTGATAATGAATGCTGTCATCTAAAAACATTCTAAGATATTACATATCTGATGGGAAGACACTCCCATTGAATTCCAACCCCAAAAAGAGAATGGATGTCAGACATAATGTGCCTTCTCACATTATCACAATTAACAGAAGGAAGGAAATCAGAAAACAAACAATTCTTTTTTCATTTTGTTTTCTTCTGAAGTTTAGGTTCCAGGATGCATGTGCAGGACTGTGCAGGTTTATTACACAGGTAAACATGTGCTATGGTGCTTTGCTGCATCTATCAACCCATCACCTAGGTTTAAGCCCCGCATCCATTAGCTATTTATCCTAATGCTCTCCCTCCCCAATCCCCACCTGACAGGGCATTCTTTAGAGGACAGAAAAAGGGGTTCTTACCTCACCATCTTCCTCACACTTGGGGCTCCTGCAATCCTCAGGAGGAGCTGGAGGGAGACAGAGTAAAAGTCAGTACCCTGGTAGCTGTAGACTGTGAGTAACTCAAGGAGCTTTGCTGGGTGTGGCATATGGAGTGTGGGACTGAAGATTCTGAGACCATCTCAGAGAAACAACTATGTTCAGATAGTACCGTGAGGGACCAGATATCTTTCATCTTAGACAATGCCAAGACCTAATAATATTCTCGCATTCCCAATTCCCAAAAGATATTAACCAATCAAAAAGCAAGGCTTAGATGTTTGCTGTGACATAGGCAGGAAAAACTGGTCTCCTGGGAAAAGTCATCATTAAATACCAGAGTAAGAAACGATGGTTACAAAAGCAGCCCACAAAGCCCATGGACACACATCCTCTCATCTCTATCTTATTAAAATCCAACAGAAATAATTCAGACCTCTACAGCTATTTTTTTTTTTTTTTTTTTTTTGGTTCTGGCTTCATAGCCCCTTTCCTAGGTTCCAAAGCAATGGGTGTAACCCAACTGCTCCCAGAAATACTCCTAGGGTAGTACTTTTGTTTTTGTTTGTTTGAGACAGTCTTGCTAACCAGGCACCGGGCTGGAGTGCAGTGGTGGGATCTTAACTGACTGCAATATCTGCCTCCTGGTTTCAAGCAATTCTCCTGCCTCAGCCTTAGCTGGGACTACAGGCACACACCACCACGCCCAGCTAATTTTTGTAGTTTTAGTAGAGACGGAGTTTCACCATGTTGCCCAGGATGGTCTTGATCTCTTGACCTCGTGATCCGCCCACCTCAGCCTCCCAAAGTGCTGGGATTAATAACCTGAGCCACTGCACCCGGCCTAGGGTATCATTTTCTACCTGCATAAATTGTCCTATTGCAGCTTCCCTCATGGATGGTGTCAACTGGCCAATCTTTAGAGACACAAATCTCAGCAAGAAGTTATTTCGGAGAGTGACTCACCCACCCTCCTATTCCAGGTGAGGCCACACTAGATTACATGAGATCACCCTGAGCTTTCCTCCATGTTCTCAGATTCTCTCCAGACTCTGTGGAGCCAGAGGTTTTCAACAAGGCATTGCTTACACTTTCCAGCCTTCAAGTAAGAAAGAGAAGCTGAAGGAATCACCTTTCCATTTTTCCTTCTACTGGCCCATTATCAGTCTCACCTCCAAAATTACACAACCCTAGGATCCCAACTTTGATGTGCACGCTTTGAGTGACGTGAGTCCAACAGTCAGATCCTGGGCCAGGCTCACAGCAGACATGCAAGACAGCATTCTGTGGGGATGGAAATGCTCTCTGATGTACAGCTTCTGGGCCATGTACAATCGCATGGTGGCTGTTGTGATGAGGTTTTGAATATTTCATTGTATATATTTATTTAAGTATAAAGAGGTATATATATGACTGAGAAGCACACTAGATGGGACAGCTCCAGATATCCAGACATGAGGAAGACCCGACTCCCCTCTCCTGGTGTTTTTTGCAGAATCCTGTGCTGCTCTGATCTTACCACACATTTAGGGTTACTTCCTGAACATATGCACAAGGGCCTGTCACTGTGTGGGGCTGAGGATATGACAGTGAGGACAACATCCAGGTCCAGAGGGATTCCAGCAGGGATGCGCTTGCACCCAGTGGAAGAGCATGGCCCTGCACACCCTTAGATCAGAGCAGCAGGATCAGAGGGGTGGGGGCATCTCACTGTCTTCAGGAGCTCACCCTTATCTCCAGAGACCCTGACTCAGAAGCTGGGCAGGCTCCAGGTTGAGTGTGTGGCTAAACAGGCTGAGAAGGAAACCTTTCCACACCTGCACTAGAACCCAGCCCAGGGGTGACCTAGAGCTCATCCCAGGGGTGTGTTCATTAAAACATCCATGGAGCCTAAAAAGTGTCTGTCCCAGGACTGAGCTCTGGGGTAAAAACAAATGAGGAAGACACAGTCACTGCCCTGCGAGTAAATACCCATAGCCAGGGCTCCTCTATTCACCTGTGGGAAGACTCAGACTTTGAGGTGGAAGATTTTTAACCATCTCCAAAATAAGTGGAAACTGAGATGTTATGGATTGCACAGAAGAGTTGCAAGGATGACCTGGAGTCTGGGATCAGTCCCCAGCCCTTTGCTGAGATCACCCTGCACTGAAACTCATGCCCTACTACTTTGGAGTGCTGCAGCTGCCCAGGCCAAAAGCTGGAAGACTCTGTCCAGTTGAAAAGCATTTCTGGGCCAGAAGACCCTTGGCCAACAGGGTCTACTGAAGAATCATTCCTCAGGAGATTTCCAGAAGAGGTGAAAAATAAAAACTTGTCTGTCTCAGCCCCAGGAAGATCAGGCCTGGGACCTCTCTGTGTCTGGTCTGACCCTGAGGTCCATTCCTACTGACTCATGTCCTGTCTGTTCCGTGTCAAAAAATGGGGACCTGATTCCTGTTCTGCCCCTCTCCGCAATGACACTCTGTTGGTATCATTGCCATCATCGCACAAAGAGATGGAGAAGACATGGGTCAGGAAGAAAGCTCCTTTCTCAAGGTATTTAGGGTGATGTTCACATCAAGCTTTCGACAGAGAGAAAGGCCAAGTCCTACTCACTCCTCCCCAGAAGGGGTCTCATATCCTGCCTGGGCCCCGGTGATGACGCCTAACACTGCAACCTTGACATTCTCTTTTAACAATGTCCCTAATGTTCTCATTTGTTTCCCCTCTGATCCTCTAAATCATGTTTCCCTTCAGGTCTAGCACGAGGCTCTCCCTTGCTCTCTCCCATGAAGCCCACTAAGCAGGTGTCCATGAATTCAGAGAACCTCAATGTTGGTAACACTGATATTTTCCTTGACTCACACACAGCAGCGCCCCCAAAGCACCAATGGGAAGCTTCGTCTAAAGATTAAAGGTGTCAAGGACAATCTGGTCATGAGAAAATCACTTCTGGGGTAAACAAGTGACATTGCACAACCAAACAGTTTCATTCTTTTGTTCCATTGGGAAAATACTGACACATATAAGACAATCAAATTTTACTGAAAAGCAAAGCATCTTCACAGAATGAATGCTCCAAAAAAAACCCCTCAAACCATCATGTGGTCTACTTAACATTGATCATGACTTAAAGCAGCTTTTCAGAAGGAAACAAAAACCTATTTCAACAGTAGAATCAATAGGGCATGATGGAGATTCCACTGTCTAGAGCTGAGTTCTTCATGGAGACATCTGTTTCTCACAGCACACCCGAGATCCTCACACCTATCAGGAACCCAAAGCTAGAAAGGTTCTCCAGACAAAAGCAAGCAAGAAAATCACCCCTGACTTATCACCAAGATGTGTCATTAGGAAGAAAGTGGTATTAGAATATGTACAATGTTAGAGAGGGGAACAACACACACAGTGGGGGAAGTGGACGAGAGAGCATCAGAATAAAGAGCTATTGTATGCGGGGCTTAATACCTAGGTGATGGGTTGACAGGTGCAGCAAACCATGCACACTTTTAGCTGTATAACAAAGCTGCACATCCTGCACATGTATCCCATAACTTAAAATCAAATTTGATTTAAAATAGAAATTGCCAGAGAAGGCAAATCTAGAAAGTACCTTAGCGGCTACCTAGGGCCAGGGGCCTTGGGGAAAAAGAGAAGTGACTACTAATGGCTTTAGAATTTCTCTGAGGAGAAATTAAAAAATTCTAAACTTAGATTGTGACAATGGCTGCACAACCCTGTAAATATAGTAAAAACACTACATCACCCACTTTAAACAAGTGAATAGTTTTGCATGTCAACTCTGTGACAATAAAGCACTTTATGAGAAAAAGAATACATACGGAGGTCATTTGGGGCTGTCACGGTGTCCTGCAACAAGAGAAAAACAAAGCATCTTAACATGCGGGGTGCGGTTGGTGCAGATATTTATCATGGTGACATTAGAAAACCACATGTCACTGGTGCCCAAATGAAGCATGTAAGATGCCTCTGAAATAAACAGTGGGGTGTTTTGGAAATGTAGCAAGTGGCCATGTCAGCTGAAAGATACCAAATAATTTTTCAAAAAGAATATGTTGCCACTGAGAAATAGGCCCATGACCAGACTGTAAGTTATGCCATCTTTTGACTCATCAATCAGGCCTCAGTTGGTGAGAAACTCCACTGACTGGTCGCTAGAGTCCACGACAACTGAGGTGTGATTCACCATGGCAGTCGAAAATGATCTTCGCTTGATATTCCAGAGGCCCCAGGAATAAAAATTTCTCTTCGAGACAAAGAAATGCATCTCACCACATCACGGGGTAGGTCCTCATCCTCGTCATCCTCTAAGATGATTTCAAGAGGACCTAAGACAACACAGAGTGACAGTCAGTGCATTGGTGATGCTCAGGAATCTCACAAGGAGCTTTGAGAAATGTGGACCGGGCTGGAGTGCATGCAGCTGGTCGTTTGACAAGCATGGACCCAGCTGCTGCTGGACCATTTTCCTTGGTGCTGAAGGAAGGAAAAGGAAAGGGGCAGAGAGAAACGAAAGAGCCTTGGCTTCCTAGCTGGGGCAGCCTCATCAATGTGAAATCGTCATTTGAAGAACCTAATAATACAGAAAGGCAGTGTACTACAGAAAGAGGAAAGTAGATTAGGGCTGCCTAGGACCAGGGGCGTGGGGGGTTGGGGAGAACAGAGGAGTCACTACCAAGCGGGCTTTCTGAGAGGGGAAAGAAGCTTCTAATATTAGACTCTAACAATGGTCGCACAACCCTATAAATAGAGTAAAAACACGGAATCACCTACTTTAAATAAGTGAATTTGTTTGCATATGCACTACGTCTCGGTAACTGTTTGATAGAAAAAGAATACGTACGGCGGTGACACCAAATGGCACGCTTCTCCTGCAATAAGAGAAAAAGAAACACCATGAGGATGACATCATGCTGGGTCCCGCTGGCACAGGTCTAATATTCACTTGGTGACGTTAGATAACCAGATGACAGGCTGGGCACGGTGGTTCACGCATGTAATCCAGCATGTGGGGAGGCTGAGGCGGGCAGATCATGAGGGCAAGAGGTTGAGGCCATCCTGGCCAACATGGTGAAACGCCGACTGTACTAAAAACTACAAAAAACCCGGCGTGGTGGTGGTGGTGAGAACCTTCAGTCCCAGCTACTCGGGAGGCTGAAGCAGGAGAATTGCTTGAATGCAGTAGGAGGATGCTGCAGTGATCTGAGATCACACCACTGCACTGTAGCCTGGAGACAGAGAGACTTTGTCTCAAAAACAAAACTAAACTAAACAAAAAACCAGATGTCAAACAGTGTTGAAGTCACAGGCCCCAAATGGAGCACAGGGGGTGCTTGCAGAAAATGCAGTGGCTTTGGAATACTTAGCAGGTATCTATGCTGGCTGAAAAATACGAAATTGTATTTCAAGGAGAAAACGTTGCAACTGAGAAATATGCCCCAAACCAAATTGTTAGCTATGCCATCTTTTGATTGACATCGTCAATCAGGCCTCAGTTGGTGAGAAACTCCACTGACTGGTCGCCGGACTCCACGACACCTGAGGTCCGATTCACAATGGCAGTCAAAAAGGATATTCACTTGATCTTTGAGACAAAGAAATGCATCTTACCTCGTCACGGGGTAGCTCCTCATCCTCGATGTCTTCTAGTATGAGGTCCTGCGGGACCTCAACGGGACCTAAGAGAACACAGAGTGACGGTCAGTGCATTGGTGCTGCTCAGGAATCTCACCAGGGGCTTTGGGAAATGTGGACCGGGCTGGAGGGTATGGAGCTGGGCGTTTGACAAGCACGGACCCAGCTGCTGCTGGACCATTCTCCTTGGTGCTGAAGGAAGGAAAAGGAGAGGGGCAGAAAGAAATGAAAGAGCCTGGCTTCCTAGACAGGGCAACCTCATCAACGTGAAATCGTCATTTGAAGAACCGGTTAATAAAGAAAGGCAGTGTAGTACAGAAAGAGGAAGTAGATTAGGGCTGCCTAAATCCAGGGGCGTGGGGGGTTGGGGAGAACAGAGGAGTCACTACTAAGCGGGTTTTCTGAGGGGGAAAAATAGCTTCTAAAATTAGACTCTAACAATAACCCTATAGAGTAAAAACACGGAATCACCTACTTTAAATAAGTGAATTTGTTTGCATACGCACTACGTCTCGGTAACTGTTTAAAAGTAAAAGAATACGTACGGCGGTGACACGAAACGGCGGGCTTCTCCTGCAATAAGAGAAAAAGAAACACCATGAGGATGACATCATGCTGGGTCCCGCTGGCACAGGTCTAATATTCACTTGGTGACGTTAGATAACCAGATGGCAGGCTGGGCGCGGTGGTTCACGCATGTAATCCAGCATGTGGGGAGGCTGAGGCGGGCAGATCATGAGGGCAAGAGGTTGAGGCCATCCTGGCCAACATGGTGAAACGCCGTCTGTACTAAAAACTACAAAAAAAACCGGCGTGGTGGTGGCGAGAACCTTCAGTCCCAGCTACTCGGGAGGCTGAAGCAGGAGAATTGCTTGAATGCAGTAGGAGGACGCTGCAGTGCTCTGAGATCACACCACTGCACTGTAGCCTGGAGACAGAAAGACTCCTCTGTCTCAAAAACTAAACTAAACTAAACAAAAAACCAGATGTCAAAGAGTGTTGAAGTCACAGGCCCCAAATGGAGCACAGGGGGCGCTTGCAGAAAATGCAGTGGCTTTGGAATACTTAGCAGGTATCTATGCTGGCTGAAAAATACGAAATTGTATTTCAAGGAGAAAACGTTGCAACTGAGAAATATGCCCCAAACCAAATTGTTAGCTATGCCATCTTTTGATTGACATCGTCAATCAGGCCTCAGTTGGTGAGAAACTCCACTGACTGGTCGCCGGACTCCACGACACCTGAGGTCCGATTCACAATGGCAGTCAAAAAGGATATTCACTTGATATTCCAGAGGCCCCAGAAAGAAAAATTTCTCTTTGAGACAAAGAAATGCATCTTACCTCGTCACGGGGTAGCTCCTCATCCTCGATGTCTTCTAATATGAGGTCCTGCAGGACCTCAACGGGACCTAAGAGAACACAGAGTGACGGTGCTGCTCAGGAATCTCACCAGGGGCTTTGGGAAATGTGGACCGGGCTGGAGGGTATGGAGCTGGGCGTTTGACAAGCACGGACCCAGCTGCTGCTGGACCATTCTCCTTGGTGCTGAAGGAAGGAAAAGGAGAGGGGCAGAAAGAAATGAAAGAGCCTGGCTTCCTAGACAGGGCAACCTCATCAACCTGAAATCATCATTTGAAGAACCGGTTAATACAGAAAGGCAGTGTACTACAGAAAGAGGAAGTAGATTAGGGCTGCCTAAATCCAGGGGCGTGGGGGGTTGGGGAGAACAGACGAGTCACTACTAAGCGGGTTTTCTGAGGGGGAAAAACAGCTTCTAAAATTAGACTCTAACAATGGTCGCACAACCCTATAAATAGAGTAAAAACACGGAATCACCTACTTTAAATAAGTGAATTTGTTTGCATACGCACTACGTCTCGGTAACTGTTTAAAAGAAAAAGAATACGCTTCTCCTGCAATAAGAGAAAAAGAAACACCATGAGGATGACATCATGCTGGGTCCCGCTGGCACAGGTCTAATGTTCACTTGGTGACGTTAGATAACCAGATGGCAGGCTGGGCGCGGTGGTTCACGCATGTAATCCAGCATGTGGGGAGGCTGAGGCGGGCAGACCATGAGGGCAAGAGGTTGAGGCCATCCTGGCCAACATGGTGAAACGCCGTCTGTACTAAAAACTACAAAAAAACCGGCGTGGTGGTGGCGAGAACCTTCAGTCCCAGCTACTCGGGAGGCTGAAGCAGGAGAATTGCTTGAATGCAGTAGGAGGACGCTGCAGTGCTCTGAGATCACACCACTGCACTGTAGCCTGGAGACAGAAAGACTCTGTCTCAAAAACTAAACTAAACTAAACAAAAAACCAGATGTCAAAGAGTGTTGAAGTCACAGGCCCCAAATGGAGCACAGGGGGCGCTTGCAGAAAATGCAGTGGCTTTGGAATACTTAGGGTATCTATGCTGGCTGAAAAATACGAAATTGTATTTCAAGGAGAAAACGTTGCAACTGAGAAATATGCCCCAAACCAAATTGTTAGCTATGCCATCTTTTGATTGACATCGTCAATCAGGCCTCAGTTGGTGAGAAACTCCACTGACTGGTCGCCGGACTCCACGACACCTGAGGTCCGATTCACAATGGCAGTCAAAAAGGATATTCACTTGATATTCCAGAGGCCCCAGAAAGAAAAATTTCTCTTTGAGACAAAGAAATGCATCTTACCTCGTCACGGGGTAGCTCCTCATCCTCGATGTCTTCTAATATGAGGTCCTGCGGGACCTCAACGGGACCTAAGAGAACACAGAGTGACGGTCAGTGCATTGGTGCTGCTCAGGAATCTCACCAGGGGCTTTGGGAAATGTGGACCGGGCTGGAGGGTATGGAGCTGGGCGTTTGACAAGCATGGACCCAGCTGCTGCAAAGGAGAGGGGCAGAAAGAAATGAAAGAGCCTGGCTTCCTAGACAGGGCAACCTCATCAACGTGAAATCGTCATTTGAAGAACCGGTTAATAAAGAAAGGCAGTGTAGTACAGAAAGAGGAAGTAGATTAGGGCTGCCTAGGACCAGTGGCGTGGGGGGCTTGGGGAGAACAGAGGAGTCACTACTAAGCAGGTTTTCTGAGGGGGAAAGACAGCTTCTAAAATTAGACTCTAACAATGGTCGCACAACCCTATAAATAGAGTAAAAACACGGAATCACCTACTTTAAATAAGTGAATTTGTTTGCATACGCACTACGTCTCGGTAACTGTTTAAAAGAAAAACAATACGTACGGCGGTAACACCAAACGGTGGGCTTCTCCTGCAATAAGAGAAAAAGAAACACCATGAGGATGACATCATGCTGGGTCCCGCTGGCACAGGTCTAATATTCACTTGGTGACGTTAGATAACCAGATGGCAGGCTGGGCGCGGTGGTTCACTCATGTAATCCAGCATGTGGCGAGGCTGAGGTGGGCAGATCATGAGGGCAAGAGGTTGAGGCCATCCTGGCCAACATGCTGAAACCCTGTCTGTACTGAAAACTTCAAAAAACCCGGCATGGTGAAACGCCATCTCTACTACAAACTACAAGAAACCCGGCATGGTGGTTGTGAGAACCTTCAGTCCCAGCTACTCGGGAGGCTGAGGCAGGAGAATTGCTTGAAAGCAGTAGGAGGACGCTGCAGTGCTCTGAGATCACACCACTGCACTGTAGCCTGGTGACAGAGAGACTCTGTCTCTAAAACAAAACTAAACTAAGCAAAAAACCAAATGTCAAACAGTGATGAAGTCACAGGCCCCAAATAGAGCACCGGATGCTTGCAGAAAATGCAGTGGGTTTGGAATACTTAGCAGGTATCTATGCTGGCTGAAAAGTACAAAATTATCTTTCAAGGAGAAAATGTGGCTACTGAGAAACATGCACAAGACCAGATTGAGTTATGCCATCTTTTGACTGACATCGTCAATCAGGCCTCAGTGTGGTCAGAATCTCCACTGACTGGTCGCTAGAGTTCATGACGACTGAGGTCTGATTCACAATGGCAGTCGAAAATAATCTTCACTTGATATTCCAGAGGCCCCAGAAATAAAAATTTCTCTTTGAGACAAAGAAATGCATCTCACCACATCACGGGGTAGCTCATCATCCTTGATGTGTTCCAGGCTGAGGTCTTGTGGGACCTGAACAGCACCTAAGAGAACATGAAGTGACAGTCAGTGCATTGGTGCTGCTGAGGAATCTCACAAGGAGCTTTGGGAAATGTGGACCAGGGTGGAGTGCATGGAGCTGGGCGTTTGACAAGCATGGACCCAGCTGCTGCTGGACCATTTTCCTTGGTGCTGAAGGAAGGAAAAGGAAAGGGGCAGAAAGAAATGAAAGAGCCTTGGCTTCCTAGCTGGGGCAGCCTCATCAACGTGAAATCAACCGATTAATACAGAAAGGCAGTGTACTACAGAAACAGGAAGAAGATTAGGGCTGCCTAGAACCAGCGGTGTGGGGGGTTGGGAAAAGCAGAGGAGTCACTACTAAGGGGGTTTTCTGAGGGGGGAAAAAAGCTTCTAAAATTAGACTCTAACAATGGTTGCACAACCCCGTAAATAGAGTGAAAACACTGAATCACCTAATTTAAATGGGTGAGTTAGTTTGCATGTCAACTACGTCTCGGTAACTGTTTAAAAGGAAAAGAATACGTACGGTGGCAATACTGGGTGACATGTTTCTCCTGCAATAAGAGAAAAAGAAACATCATGAGGATTACATCATGCTGGGTCCCATTGGCACAGGTCTTGTATTCACTTGTGACATTAGGAAACCAGATGGCAGACTGGGCACGGTGGCTCACACATGTAATCCCAGCATGTTGGGAGGCTGAGGCGGGCAGATCATGAGGGCAAGAGATTGATGAAACCCCGTCTCTACTAAAAACAAGAAACCCGGCATGGTGGTGGTGAGAAACTTCAGTCCCAGCTACTCGGGAGGCTGAGGCAGGAGAATTGCTTGAATGCAGTAGGAGGACGCTGCAGTGATCTGAGATCACACCACTGCACTATAGCCTGGTGGCAGAGAGACTGTGTCTCAAAAACAAAACTAAACTAAACCAAAAACCAGATGTCAGTGATGAAGTCACAGGCCCCAAATGGAGAACAAGGGATGCTTGCAGAAAATGCACTGGGTTTGGAATACTTAGCAAGTATCTATGCTGGCTGAAAAATACAAAATTATTTTTCAGGAAGAATATGTTGCTACTGAGAAATACGCTCACTACTAGTTTTTCAGTGATGTCATCTTCTGACTGACATCATCAATCAGGCTTCAGTTGGTCATACATTCCAGTGACTGGTAGCTAGAGTCCATGACAGCTGAGGCCTGATTCACAAGGGCAGTCAGAAATGATGATATTCTAGAAGCCCCCAAAAAAGACATTTGTCTTCAAGACAAAGAAATGCATCTTACTATGTCAGGTGATGTCTCTTTAAGGTTTTCACGTCTCTTTAAGGTTTTCTTCTGGTCTTGAAGAGGAGCTAGGAGAACACAGAGAGACAGTAAGTACACTGGTGATGCTGAGGAATCCCACAAGAAGTTTTGGGGGATGTGGACGGAAGCTGCAGTGTATGGATGGGGGCTGTTGACAAGCATGAACTGAGCTGCTGCTCGGCCACTCTCCTTGGTGCTGAAGGAAGGCAAAGGAGAGGGGAAGAAAGAAATGAAAGAGCCTTGGCTTTCTAGCTCGGGAAACCTCATCAGTGTGAAATAGTCTGCAAACCGGTTAATACAGAACGGCACTGTATGGCTCAGTGAGAGCATCTCATCACACCTGCTGCCCACGTGAAGGTCTAGGCAAATCCCAACATTTTATGAAACGTTACAGGATTATTTAACTTCTGTGGATCTTATCCTGCTGCTACATTTATCATCTGTCCTGTTGTATTTTTTAAATTTTAAAAGCTTACATATTTATTATTTTAATTATTAAGTGTGCATTCCAATGATATTATATTTAGTGAGTAACATTCATGATGCTGTGTCAAAAATGAGAAAAATCAAATCTAAATTCATAATCTAGCTTCCGCCTTGGGCATTGAAAGAAAAACAGCAGTATAATCTCGAATTGAGGAAAAATAAATAACGACTGCAGAAATTAATGGAATAAAAACAGGAAATCATCAGAGAAAATCAACAACAACAAAACCAGTTCTTTGAAAAGATCAATAACGCTGATAAACCTCTACCTTTTCTAACCTCAAAGGAAAAGAAGGAAGTCACGATGTACTAATAATATCAGTTCAAGACGAGTTGAATCAAAAAATAATAATAAAGGAATGTTGTGAACACATCTGTGCTCACACTTGGAAACATTATATGAAATGAGCTAACTTTTTGGATCTGTAGGTTAAACGTCTTCTCATGATAAATGAATCATCTGAATAGGCCTATATTTATATTAGAAATTGAATCAATAATTAGTATCTTCTCAAAAGAACAAAAACACTACCTTCAGATGATTTCACCGGTAAATTCTACCAAAATTTTTACAAAGAAACGTGGTAAAGTAACCATAATTTTAGTATTTCCTTACATTTTAAAATTGTGTTTCCAAACAAGACACAAGAAGGTTTGTAATTTCTGTATTCATAATTGCCCAAACTGAAAGCAAATGTCTAAACATTTGAGATGTCCTTTACTATCAAAAGCGAACCAAGCCTGAGCAACACTGTGAAACCCCGTCTCTACAAAAAAAAAAATAAAATTTAAAAAAAAAGCTTGGTATAAAGCATGTGCATTATAGCCATCTGCTTGGGAGGCTGAGGTAGAAGGATCATCTGAACACGGGGAGGTCAAGATTGCAATGAGCTGTGATTGCACCAGTGCACTCCTGGGTGAGAAAATGAGACCTTTTCACAAAAACAAAGAAACAAAAAGAACCAAACTCTAAGTTGCCAATGTAACTTTACTTGTGTAGTTGCATCACCCATTAATTTAATGCATTTAAATGGGCACAAATGAAATAAATGAAGAACATCACATAGCATTTACTGAGTTTCTCTGGGACACTGGATGAGTAAACTGGAATTGTTTGCTTCAATCAACTTAATGATATAATTTCCACCCTACCTTCATTTGCAGTGGGGCAAATTTTTTTACGCCTCCGTTTTTGTACCCAGCTCCTCACGCGGCCAGCCAAACCTGCAAGGTAGAAATGTATTATAATAAAGACAACTCTTGACATCTTGCTGAAATTAGTAAAAACTTATTCAGTTTAAACTTTTGATCCTAGTTTTCACCGACTACTTTTCAATGCTACCTGAATTAGATCTGGGATCTAGGAAGATTTGTTTGTCCAGGCAGATACATTTATTCAGATGAGACAATATAGAAAAGCAGAAGATCCAACAAGTTACCAAGAATAGGCTGGGTTCAAATCCTACTTAGAATCTGCACATACCTGGGAGAGGGATATGAACCCATCTGTGCCTCTCTTCCCTATTCTGAGATGTAAAAACGTTAGTAGATCTATGCTATAGACCTACTAAGGTCTATAGCACCTAAAAGAATGAAATGCAGATGAAGACTTAAAAAGACTCTTTTCTTTTTGTAAATGCCCTAAAATGTTCAATCATTCAATGTCGAGAAGGATAATCCAGATACATGGTAGTGGTTGAATACAGAGAGGAAGCCTGCATGTCTCCTGTGCAAAGTAGGATGGAAAGTGATGTCACAGTTTCCATGGCCACATGATTTCCAGCTCATGACAGAGATCTGTGATTTCCCTGATCCCCACATCAGCCCCAAGGGACAGGCAGGGAAGGGGCTACAACCCATATTTTCCAATTCAGTGAAATAAGACTCAGACATTTTGAGTGACTTGCCCAGTGTCACCGCAGTGAGGAGTGATAGATCTGAGGTAATAATGTAGTTGGTTCCCCAGGGATAGAGATCCTGGAACACCTGAGTCCTCTAGATCATGCCCTGAACCCTGGACTGAGAGCTCTTCTCACAAGCTTTGTCAAATCCTGCTACCCCAACATTTCTGTGGGATGGTTGAAGCTCTGGAGAGGTGGCAGGTGGCTTAACGCATTTACTGACCTACTGTATTATCCCCATGTTGTCACTTTTATTAGTTTGATGACCCATAAGGCAAACATTTTAAGTCTCTCAGTTATGCATGATCAGAGATTTTACCTAAGCCCACTCTTTCTACCCATCAGGTGATTCTCATCTGCTGGGCTAGAGCTGGCCTGATGTAAAAAATAACACACGGCATACCATGGAGCTGCTGCGTGCCCCACTCCGGTGAACATGGCATACTATGGAGCTGCTGCGTGCCACGCTCCTGTGAACATGGCATACTATGGAGCTGCTGCGTGCCACGCTCCTGTGCACGTGGCAGGGCTGCTCCATACCCCAATCCTGGGCACATTCTTGCCTTGCTTCTGCTTTCCCAGCTCTGACAATCCTAATTCTGGCTTCCAAACCAATCCTGTATGTCCCTCTCAGTTCTCAGACTTGCCTCAACTGTTGGATATTTTAATCACTGTTGTAGTGACCATGACTGAACTGTGACATTTCATATACCATACTATATGTTTATCTTTTTATATATTTCTTAATAAAATTTAACTTATTTTTTTCAGACTTTTTAGGAACGTTTCTGGGCTAGGTGTGCTGGCCCATGGCTATAATCCTGACATTTTTAGAGGCTGAGGCAGGAGAATTAGCTTAAGGTCAGAAGTTTAAGACCAACCTGGGCAACACAGTGAGACGTCAATTCTACAAAAAGCTTCTAAATGTCATAGGATGTGGTGGTGAGCCCTTGTATCCCTAGCTACATGGAAGCCTGTTGTGGGAAGATCATTGAGCCTAGAAGATTGAGGCTGCAGTGATGATCACGCCACTGTACTCCAGCCGGGGTAACAAAGCAAGACCCTGTCTCTTCAAAATAAAAAGCATTACTGTGTTACACGTATCCCCATTTTGTTTCTCATTATCTAATATTGCTGTTTTCATCCTGAGGCTTGATTGCTTTAGTAAGCTTTAGAAAGTTTTTTAGACAAGGTAGTATTTATAGCAGGCCATATGCATGCCTTTTTATAGATTCTAGTTTTATATGCCATATATCTAGAATTTACATTCCTGATCTACTCCGTCTTCTTCTTAGAACCAGCCTCCTCATATGTAACACAAGTATAATTCCCATATTACACCTAACTCAAAACATTGAGAGGATAGAATAAAATCAAAGAGCAGTCTGTATACTACACAAGGCACAATAGATTACAAACCAAAGCTTTCTCTAACTCAAAGGCGAAAAGTGCACACTTAACATCCTTTGCAGAACCCATAGCAAAATAATATTTTGAGAAACTATGCACCAGTGAAATTAGGAGAAAACTGTCACAGGTCAAGACTTCCCCAACGTTATCTTTTATTTTTAAATAATGAAATACCATTATTTCTCCTGCTATCTTTCATGTATATTACTGCACATTCTCCTTTTGGCTTTTCTGAGTACCCTATTCTTGGGAATCACTCCACAGCAATAAAAAGACATCTTACTCTTTTTCACAGCTCCATACTTCTCCTTTATGTACAAGTACCAGCTTATTTTACTAGTCCCTTACTAGGCATGCCAGTTATTTCCAATATTTAACTATTGAAAATAATGCAACAAGAACTCTGCAAATAGTTTGTTTTATATTTACGGAGCATAACTTCAGGATAAAATTCCTCAAAGTAGGATGTCTGGTTCAAATGCATTTTCACGGTTGTGAGATTGTGCCAAATTCCCCTTCATGGAGTTGAGTCTTTTTGCATTTCTACCAGCAATACATGAATGCAACTTTCCTCACAGCCACACCAAGGACATGGTTTTGGGATTTCCCTCAATAGGAGAGACCCTGCAGTAGAGCTGTCATTTGCCTTTCTTTTATGAGTGAAGATGTGTTTAAAAATCACCTGTATTTCTTTTTCTGTGACTTGTCTATTTACCACTTTATTATCCACTTTTAGTTTCACTTGATTTTTCTCAAGTCCGCCTCTTTCAGGTCATTGTTTTTCTCTTCACTGTCGGTTCTCACCTGAACTACTCCACCAGTCTCCTAGCTGCTCTTCCTGCTTCCACCCTTGCCTGTATTACAGCATATTCACAGAGCTGCTGCTCAGTCTTTTTCTTAGAGAATTAACAGTAATCCTGGGCTATAATCCTCCAGTGGTTTTCCATCTCAACTGAAGTCCATCTTTTCTGTGAGTGTTCACTACATGTACAAGGTCTTCACCCACCTTATTCATCCCAGCATCCTTTTACTCTGCTGCAGCTGCCCTTGTGGCTTTCCCTCCTTTGCCTAAAACTTCAAATCAAAACTTTGTTTCAATTTCAGGAATTCCAAAGCGGATATCCCTCTCTGGAAGCCCTCTCCCACCATCCTCACAGGGTTCCCCTCACTTTTTTATTTTTAAAACTAAATAAGATGGGGTGTCTCTGTGTTGGCCAGGCTGGTCTTAAACTTCCAGCCTCAAGGAATCCCCTCATCCTGGCTTTCCAAAGTACTGGGATTAAAGGTGGGAGCCACTATACCCAGCTCATTTCACTTTTAAGACTGTTCACATGTCACTTAAAGAGAACATCCTGCTCTTAGCGCCAACCCTCCATCAAACTGCCCTCCTCTTTAATCCATCACCCTGCTTTACTTTCTTCCCAGCACGTCACCACCTGCCATTCTTGACTATTCATGTGCTGGCTGCCCTTACTTCCCTATCGAATGTAAGGGTCAGACTTAGAATGGGGCTCTCTGTTGTGTTCCACTGTTGGCCCTGCATCTGCAACACTGCCAGGCCATTTGAAACTACATATATTTCATTTTACCCCAAACTAGTTAAGTTTCTCCCAATTCTCCCAGATCTGCTAAAGTTGTCTTTTGTTTTATCATCTAAGACAGCATCGGATTTTTAAAACTGGTAGCTATTTAGCATTAAAGACACACGCTATCAAGATCCACAAAAATATAAATGAAGAATGTTAATGTCTAAAAGTCAATGGTAACTGCAATTTGACACAAGTATATTTAACACTAAAATACCTTAAATACAAAGTGACTCATTTCATCCATTTAATTATGTCACTAGAAAAAATATATTATCTGAATTTTATAACGAGATATCACACCTGTCATCAAAATGTGCTTTATGTGTGTTCTGAATCAAACATGACAGGACTGTTTCTGACTTTACGAAAAAAGACGGCCAATCGCAAGGGGCAGGTAAATAAATAGTGCTTTAACCAGTCCGTAGTACACTAAGCAGTTATTCAAAGTCATCAGGTAGAGCAGGGTGCCCTGGCAGGCAAAGGACATCCTGGAGTGCTCTCTGGGTGTCAAGTACTGTTTGAGAAACTTACGCCATTATCTCACTGCTTTAAGTAAAAGTTACAAGGCAGCACATATAAAATAATCAGAAAGTTTTATTTTACAAAAAAGTTTGTGAAATAAAATATTATATTCAAATGCATAGCAATAATTTCCAGAAAAACAGTGCTCAAACTGTAACACAAGTGATCTATGGGTATTCTGAGTGTAATAAATAACATTTCTTTATTTTCTACATCTTTTACATGAAACATACTGATAGTTATTTTAAAAGGAGGGTTCAAAATAGGTACTAGAAAGCTGAAAGACCTGCTGCTCAGAGGTCTCTACATCATATGCCCATGCTTTCCCTTCCCTGACCCCTCACTTGAGAGAGCCGACAAACCAGCAGCATTCCTATGGTAAGAACACAAAAGGCTGCATGAAAAGTCGATGGGTAGTGATAAAATTGAATAATGATTATATTACCCCCAGTCATATTAGATATACTGCTAAATAAAGGCATGATAGGACAAAACATGTTTGAGTCTGAGATCTAAACTGGGTTCTTAGAGCTTCTCTTTGAAATGGCTTCAAGACACAATGTTCTTTTGAAGTATTTCAGAAGAGAACAATGAAGCAGAGCATTATTTATGGCATAAGTTCCTGAAACAGGACTTGCCACCTAGAGAGCACTCCAGGATGTCTTTCTACAGCAGTGCGCCCTGCTCTGCCTGATGCCTTTAAATAACTGCTTAGTGTGCCACAGAATGGTTGGAGCACTGGTTGCTGTGATATTTGTCTAAGTTACCAAAAGAAATCAATCGTCATTATAGAAAGGCTAAAATGTTTCACATCTAAGTAGGAATTTATCATTTTCCAAAAAACGTGATACACAATTTTCTGAAATGAAGATATTAACAAACTTTGAATGTGTCTATACTTTATATTGAGTGTTCTGAACATGTTTCTTTATTTTCCCAGCCAGGCTGGAGTGTACTGGCGGGATCTCGGCTCACTGCAACCTGCAACTCCCGGATTCAAGTGATTCTCCTGCCTCAGCGTCCCAGGTAGCTGGGATTACAGGTATGTGCCACCATGCCTGGCTAAGTTTTTGTATACTTAGTAGAGAAGGGGTTGCATCATGTTGGCCAGGCTGGTCCCAAACTCCTGACCTCAGGTAATCTGCCCACCTCGGCCTCCCAAAATGCTGAGATTACAGGCATGAGCCACTGTGCCTGGCCAAAGAATGAACACTGAAATTGAGGTTTCTGTTATCCCTTTACTGAATACCACAAAAACACGTTTGAAGAGACATATAGAAACTTACTGTCATGCACATACACATAAGATGGTAAATTCTGTGCTCACAAACTATTTTTTCTTCAACTGCTCTGACTTAACATTTCTTACTCGGGGCCTTGCTTGCCCTCCTGCCAGCTTCTCCTTTCTCCTGACCAGGGTCAAATCAGTTAGCAGATGAAACTCTTCCACATTTATTAAACTGTTGATTTGACTGGTAAATGCAGGCCATTTTGTTACCCCTACTTTTATCCTTATCTATTTCAATAAATGTATGGACAGAAGGTAGAGCCAGGAGAGATGGCACATGCCTGTATTGTCAGCTTTCCTACAGGCTGAGGCAGCAGGAGTGCTTGAGCCCAGGCCAGGAGTCAGAAGCCTGGGCTCTGTGCCCACAGTGAGGACCCATCTCTTTAGGAGGAAAAACGGAGAGGTAAATGTGTAAAATAAAATGCAAAAAGAACTAATCAAGATGAAAGTTCTAAGAGAGGTCTATGTTATGGGTAGACCTTAAAATATAAGACATTCTGGAGTCTGTCAAGTTCTTTAAGAACTGAGTTTGGCATCACTACGACCTCCAATGTCTACTTTGATGACTTAGAACCTCAGTCCTGTTCAGCAGCCGTCTCACACAGTCCCTTCAGATCTCTGCATCAGCAACATAGCTAGAATATACACAGGTCTTATTTGTATTTGGAAGCTTCCAGTAAGATGTACAGGAAAACATGTTTTACATCCTAAAGAATAAGGAAAAGGCTCACTTTGTTCTCTCACTACCTCATCTGCCAAATCAGACAGAATATCACACAGAGGCTTGCCATATACCACCAAGCAAGGAGTTTCCACCGGTACTTGCATGCTTTGTGTATAAGGTACAATCTATTAAGTCTCATAATTATTTATTCTTTCACAATTTTTCAATACTCTAAAAAGGGAGTACAGCACTTCCTTGTTACAAAGGCACACCCATCATGAGGCTTAATTATTCTGTGAAAGAAGGTAAGAGCCAAACTGAAGTTTAAACACAAGACCTGTAAGACATTTTCTCCATACTAATAAAATCTCTGCCATTAAAATGAAAGAAATGAGCTGATCATATTTCTATGTCTTTATGATATAATGTTTTCTATTTCAGTGTGTTCAAGGAACTGGTTACCCAGAATTATCTGTTGCTAGATTCATCTATTTCTAAAATCCTAAAGGATTTTAGACTGAAGGCTGCTGGCCCTGGTTGATGCCTGTCACCCAAAAAGCCTATGTCACCTGGTTACCAGGAAACAACCAAGTCAGGCTACTGGCTCACAATGCCCTGCCCCAGAGCCCCACCCAATGGCTCACAATGCCCTGCCCCAGAGCCCCACCCAATGGCTCACAATGCCCTGCCCCAGAGCCCCACCCAATGGCTCACAGTGCCCTGCCCCAGAGCCCCACCCAATGGCTCACAATGCCCATCCCTGCATCTGCCCACCTGTGGTCACCATTTCCCCCATGTGACTGCATTATTCATCCTGGGCTGCCTGAGCTTTCCAATCATGAGAAAAGTTTGTGGAGGGAAGGGTGGTTGTTATTGGAAGTCACCCTGGGCACTGAACTCAGTAGAAAACCTTGATTACTAATGTCAGTTCCATTAGGTTTTCTGAGTCTGGGAGCTTTCATTTGCTCAAAAAATGTAGTGATACACAAATGTTTGACTGATTTTGTAACTAAATGCTCCTCTCCCATCTTACAAGTGTTAGTTTTTGTCTTCAATTTGACCACAGCAAAAAAATGAAATGCTTCCTCTCTCCTCCCCTTTCCCATCCTGTAGGAAGGGGGCCATGAAAACAAACTCTTTTCCACAGGCAGAGTCCGGCCTTCTAACTCTCAAGTCTTTACCTTACAAATTCAAGTCAAAAGTCATTTCATCTCTTTTGGAACCTGTAACCATGAGCTAGCTCCACCTGTCTTTCAGAAGGTAAGGAGGTAAAGCCCATGAAGTTACTGGAGTAGTGCCGAAGAGACATTCACGTCAAAGTGGGAATTTTTAAGTAATCAGAGCTCCAGGGCTAAACTTTGGGTAAAACCACAGCAAAAACAACTTTTCTACAGCTCTGGCAGTAACATTTCATATGTCCCTCAATTTTTCCTTTGGTTTTCAAATTACAATTGGAAGAAGTAAAGCTGCTTCTGTCAAGGTGACTTCAAACCATCTCTTAAGAACACCATATAATCTCTTCCATAGCTCTATTTTAAATTTAAGAACTTTCCAAATATTTGAGTCTGAATTTTCCCAATTATTAGCTTCCTTATCGAATAGGAGAAAAGAAATGATTGGGCCTTTAACCGGCTCCTTCACTGAGGTACCATAGTAGCTGGATAGGTAAGGCTAGAGAATGGGATGGAGACTCCAAAACTGGAGTATCTGAATTTTCACTGGGGAAAGGGAAAGACTAGACCCAAAATGCCTCAAGCAAGAAGGCTCAACAACAAAGACAAGAGGCAGGACTAGCCTTTGTCCCCCATGCCCAGCCCTGGGAAAGCTGGCTATAGGCAGGAGGGAGCTGAGAGCTGAGGATGTCTCTGGGGTGAGGGGATGGGAAGGAGGTGGGGGAGGTGGTGGCCAAAATGGCACCTGTGGCTTCCTTACCTTTGCGCCGCTTTGACTTGGGCTGCACATGCTGGACCTCCACCACTCCGGCATATACAAAGTCAGGCTCTGCAGTCGTGGATTCTGGTGGTGTAGCTGCCACAGACTGAGTCCCACAACATGACGCCACTGCCTCCCGGCACCAGGCACAAATGAGGCCAGCCCTGGGGCCTAGGAAGTTCCCCATAGTGACCTATAAGGGGACTTTCAAAACAAAGCAATGCACAAAATCAGAAAAAAAAAAAACAAAAAAGAACAATGAGAACACGTGGACACAGGGAGGGGAGCACTACACACTGGGGTCTATTGTGGGGAAATAGGGGAAGAACAGCAGGGGGTGGGGAGTTGGAAAAAGATAGCATGGGGAGAAATGCCAGATATAGGTGATGGGGAGGAAGACAGCACATTACATTGCCATGTGTGTACCTATGCAACAATCTCCTCCTCCTCCCACTACCAGCTTCTGACTGAAGGCGCTGGCCCTGGCTGATGCCTGTTACCCACAAAGCCTCCTATGTCACCTGGTTACCAGGAAACAACAAAGTCAGGCCAGTGGCTCACAATGCCACTTCCCACAACCCCACCCAAAGGCTCACAATGCCCATCCCTGCTGCTGGCCACCCTGCCCCTCTTGGTGACTGCATTATTCATCCTGAGTGGCCTGAGATACTCCATTTTTCACCATAGGCCTCAGAAAACCCAGAAATGTCCCTTCATAGATTCTATATAGAGAGTGTATCTAACCTGTGAATAAAAACAAAGGTTTCATTCTGCATGATAAATCCACAAACACAAAGCATTTTCACAGAATCCTTTGGGGCCCACCTCTCACCTTCAGCTTCCTGTTCTTGGTTATTTGGGCTTCAGTCTTGTATGCTCTGTCAGGTTCTAGGCCTTGTAAGGGTGAGTTCCATGTCTCCACTCATTTATATGTGCCCAGGACGGTTGGCTCTTGGGAGGGTCTTCAGCCATGGATCCTTCGCACTGTTCCTTGAATCCACTTGACACAAAATACTCATCCTGCAGTGATGCTTTGAAAGTGATGCTTTCATTCAATTAGGGGCCAGCTGTATTACGGATCCCTAGCACCCAATACATGGCATATGAGAAATGAATGAAAAATAAGTGAATGAACTCAAGTGTGCCTACAAGGTGAGAGAAAATGGTCCTACTTACTAGGTGTGCTACGAAGGCATCTGGGACCATTGGCTTTGCTATTTCATAGTAGGCCTGGGGCTTTGAAGGCTGGTATTTCCTCATTCTAAACCTCAAATTCCAATAAATTACCACCAAGTGGACAAAAGTCCATGGGCCAGAGCTCTTGGTGTGAACAACATACCTTTTGTGGGTGTGATTAATGGGCAGGGACTATACAAAACTAAAAACAATGTTTGTGTGCTGACTACCTGCAAGCCATGGTGATAAAACACTCTGCATACACGATCTTATTCCCACGAAGTGAATTTTTATGCAAACTTTCTATTCGAGCTTTTTGGAACAAGAGGCTAGTGTGGTGACTTTCACCTACTCGGCAGCAGATTTAGATACTTGTTATCTGATGGCCAATCTCGTTACATGTATACTCCTACATGCTTCTCCTCTCCCTCTCATGATTTTATAGCAAATCCCACACATCATATAATTTCCTCCCTGACTCTCTTGGTATATGTCTGTAAAAGATACGATTCTTGTTTGTTCTTTCAAGATAAGGTCTCTGTCAACCAGGCTGGAGTTCAGTGGCATGATCTTGGTTCACTGTGGCCTCTCCTGCCTCAGCTTCCTGAGTAGCTGCAACTACAGACTCACACCACCATGCCAAGCTAATTTTTTAATTTGTATTTTAGTAGAGACAGGGTCTTGCTATGTTGCCCAGGCTGGCCTAGAATTCCTGGATTCAAAGGATCTTCCCATCTTGACCTCCGACACCATGCCTGGAGACAAGAACTCTTTAAAAAATATAATAATCCCAATACCATCATCAACCAACCATCTCACACCATTGCTCTTTATCACTGTCAACTCTCCTTCTAGCTCCAAATTTCCAGTCATTTCATGTATTTATTGTGTGAATCAGGATCCAAATAAAGTCTCTCCTTGGGATTGTTTGATTCACCTCTTAGGGTTTTCTTGATCCTGACAACTTCCCACTTTGATCTCTGTGCTGTCCCTTGTAGTCCATTTATTGAATAAATCAGGTCATTTCCCCATAGTTTGGATTATGCTAAATGTGTTCTTATTATGCTGTTTCTCATACTGTGAATTTTGCTAATTGTATCTTGTGATGTTGGTTAACTTGCTCTTCACTTTGTTCTAGCTTTGATAAATTAGTAGTTTGATCTAAAGACGTGGTGAGATTCAGGTTGGACTTGAGGGTCAGGGCAAAGACTGTGCTAGTTTCTTCTGGGAGGAGTTGTCATCTTTTTTTTTAATTGGTGATGTTAATGGCCATTGATCAATTATGGATTGAACAATGAAGGTATTGTTGTATCATTCCTTCTTCATTTATGAGCTGCCATACTTCCAGAAAGAGATACTGCTACCTGAAGGGCCTTGCATGAAGAAAAAAATGAAGCAGATGTAAAAAAGAGATGCTGCTTCTAATAAACTGTGTTACTCACTTGTACAACTTATATAGAAAATGCCAGTTCATGGCTTGATTTCTTCTGCTTAACCATTTTTCAAAATGATGGGCTGTTTCATTTATATCCTTCAATGGTGACCACTTGTATTTATTTATAGACAGGGAGGGTCTAGCTCTGTTGCCCGGGCTGGTATGCAGAGAAGCAGTCATGCCACTATAGCCTCAAACTTCTAGGCTCAGGTGACCCTCCCATCTCAGCTTTCTGAGTAGCTGGGACCAAAGACACATGCCCTCATACTTGAGTAATTTAAAAAATGTTTTGTAGAGTCCCCCTATGTTGCACAGGCTGGTCTTAAACTGCTGGATGAAGTGATCCTCCTAACTCAGCCTCCTGGAGTGTTGAAATTACAGGCATGAGGAACTGTGCCAGTCCACTTTTATTTTTTCAAAAGGATCATTATGAATGCAGATATTCAAACATATCTGATATATCTCAATTCACTGCAACTATTATCCTTATTAATGTATAAAATGTCCTATCTTTGGTTAGGAGTCCCTTCAGACATGTTGAAATCATCCTAATAATCTTTGATGGATTCTTTGCTATCTGGAGTGACAATATGTTCCAGGCTCCTTACACATTTCTGGCCTAGACCTAAAATCAGCACTTTCTCCAAGAAGGCTTCTTTTCTTTCATTGGGCAATGGTATTTTGAGACTATATTGAGACTACAATCTTGGTGCTAGGGGTAAATAGTATAATTTTACAACTTAGAAAACTGCCTGGCTCATGCCTGTAATCCTAGCATGTTCAAAGGCCGTGGATCACCTAAGGTCACAACTTTCAGACCAGCCCGGACAACATGGTGAAACCCCATCTGTACTAAAAATACAATAAATTAGCCAGGCATCATGGCAGGAGCCTGTAATCCCATCACCTTGGGAGGCAGAGACGGGCAGATCACAAGGTCAAGAGATCAAGACCATCCTGGCCAACATGGTGAAACCTCGCCTCTACTAAAAATAGAAAAATATTAGGCAGGCACAATGGCACTTACCTGTGGTCCCAGATACTCCGGAGGCTGAGGAGGAAGAATGCTTGAACCCAGGAGGTGGAGGCTGCAGTAAGCCAAGATTGGGCCAGCGCACTCCAGCCTGGTGACAAAGCCGGAATCCGTCTAAAATAAACAAATAAGCCAGTCATAGTGGCTCATGCCTGTAATCCAAGCACTTTGGAGGCAAAGGCGGGCGGATCACCTGAGGGCGAGAGTTCATGACCCAGAAAGAAAAGTAAATAATAAATAAGTAAATACATGCAAGACTGCCTCTAAATCATTATACAGATAGTTAAGAAAATGAATAAATGCAAGCCTGCACACAAAGTATAAAAATAATGTTGTGAGCCTGGGTCTAAATAAAATAAATGAGTAAATGTGAGCCCGCCTCTAAATAATCAGCTAGCAAGCTAGATAAATACATAAATCCAAGTCTGCCTCCAAATACTTAAATAAATAAATTCGGCCTGCTTCTCCATTACTACACCAGCAAATAAATAAATAAATAACTGCAAGTCTGCCTCCAAATAAATCAATAGATAAATAAATCAATAAATAAGCAGCCCCACTTGGTGGCTCATGTTTTTAATACCCCACCCATTGGGAGCCTGAGCTGGCTGTATCACCTGAGGTCAGGACATTGAGACCAGCCTGGCCGAGATGGTGAAACAATCCTTGTGTCTATTTTTTTAAAAAAAGGTAAAAATAATTAAATAAATTAATTAATTAAAACATAAATAAATAAATGCAAGCTGGCCTTCCTGTCTCTAAGTAAATAAATCAGAAACTTTGTAAATAAGTAAATAAAGGCTGGGTGAGCTGGCTCAGTCCTGTAATCCCAGCACTTTGGGAGGCCAAGACCGATGGATCACGAGGTCAAGAGATCAAGACCACCCCGGCCAACATGGTGAAACCTCGTCTCTACTAAAAAGATAAAAATATTAGCCAAGCTCGGTGGCACTTGCCTGGGGTCCCAGATACTCCAGAGGCTGAGGAGGAAGAATCACTTGAACTCAGGAGGTGGAGGTTGCAAGAAGCCAAGATTGGGCCAGTGCACTCCAGCCTGGTGACAGAACAAGACCCCCTCTAAGATAAATAAACAAACGAACAAACAAATGCCCTATGTCTTAATAGTAAATTGTACTGTTAGGTCTTACAAAAATGAATGTGAAAGGGAATGTTCTGCAAGATGGAACAAAATCGCAATTATTGTTAATTTTCTATTATAGAATAACAATAACACTGCAGCACCCTAAAACATATATAAGAGGGAAAAATCATTCACAATGATTATAGCCTGACATTAACAGTATTTGCATTTTTGTGTTTCCCAAGCCTCTATTTTTCTGTGGATGTTAAACCATGGCTCTAGCTATAATCCTTATGTATATGAGTATTTCTATGCATATTTCATAAGGGTCTAATCTTAGTGTGCAAACAATTTTCTATCTTTTCTACCATACTATCTAATATATATATAACACACACATGCATACATATATAGATAAAATTGTATAGGCTCACTAATATTTAGTGACTAAATAATTTTCTATCTTGTGATGTCATACACATATACACACATATGATGCCATGTGATTGCTCAAAACATTAATTTAGTGAATGAAATTTAATGAAATATATAGTTATTGCAAATATCCCTTGACTGTTACTATTAGTTGCCTTCCATTGTTTATCATGATGATGCTGAAATCATTATCTTTATGTACCTAAAACTTTTTTCATAATTTGAATTGATTTCCTAGAAAAACTCTAACAAATAGATTTACTCTATCATAGGTTGTAAACATTTTATGATCCTTGATAAATTATGCTTTTCCAGATGATAATTCACATAAATACAAATGACGTCTACAAGATTGCATCTTGACACAATTGGCACCATCACTAATTTTCCCAGTGCTAATGGTGTGTACAAAAAAATGCCAACTAGTTTTAATTTGCATTAATTTATAAAAAGGATAATTATTTTATACATTTACTTAATTTGTTCCTCAATGTTATATAAAATTTCAAATGGCTTCATTTTGGAGCTCAGATATATATGTATTTTTATATAGTTATATACAAATGATACACATATAATTTGCCTATAGGGTTTTAAAAATCAAATCATAAGGATTGTTGATATTAGAGAGATATTTAATTTTGCTAAGTTTGCCATTACCTTTTTTAATACAAGTTTAATATTTTTACATTCTTAAATCTAACTCGGGGTATTGTATATGTGTTATTTATTTTATGAATCCTAAGCCTGAAAAACTCATTTCTCTATATATTTTGGATAAATGTTTGATTTTAATTTTTTAAAAAAATTTTTTATATTTTTAAAATGTGACACAGGTAACCATAAAGTATATATAAGTATGCACAATTTAATAAGTATAAAGTGAACACCTCTGTAACCACCAACTAATTCAATATATCTAACATTTCCAGCATTCTAGATGCTTTTTGCATGTAGCTGTCTGATCACAATCCTTCTTTCCCCTCCTGGAGGTTCCCATAAACAAACCTGACTGGTGAAAATCATTTTCCTGCTTAAAAAAAAATGATTTCACTACTTAGGACTTAAATATTCAACTGTAACCGATTTAATTTTGTCCATGTTTACCCAAAATATTGTACCATATGCTCACCATTATGTGGTTAAGATTACCCATGAATTGCATTTAGCTGTAAGTTCATTTCCTTTGCTACAGACTACTCATTTGGCATTTCCATGAACAAGTGCTATTATGAACAACTTTATACATGTATTTTAGTGCAAATGTGCAAGATTTGCTCCAGAAAAGTACTTGGGAGTAGAACTGCTGGGTGCAGTCTACTCATGTCTTAAACTTTTATATAACCAAACTTTTTTCCAATATGTGTATACTAGTTCACACTCCCACCAGCAATACATGAGAATTACCTTGCTCTACACTTCTCACCACTTAATATTGTGAGCACTTTACTTTTCTTGGTATGGTAGTTTTGAAACAGTAAGTGTGATTTCCATTTGGAGTTTTCTGATAATTAATGAAGTTGACCATATATTCACGCCTTTTAGCCATTTATATTTCCTCAATTGTGAAGTGTATGTGCAATTCTTCTGCAACTATTTTCAATGGAGACATATGGTTTTCTCATTGATTTAGAGAAATTTTATATTCATCTAAACACTAGTAGCTTTTCTGTATAATTTAAAATAATAAATCAAGTCATAATTTACATTAATTTAAATCTTTTGTGTTCTTTTAAAAACTTATTTCCTACACTAATATCATGAAAGAAGTTTCCATTATTGTGACCCTAAATGCTTTCAGGTATTATTTTCTCATATTTAGGCTTATAATTTACCTGAAATTGCTTTTAAGTACAGTATGACATAGTAGCCCAATTTCATTTTCTTATTTATGAATAACTTCTATTTTTAGTTTTCTATTTTTTCCTTCTGTTTGAAATTGGAACCTACATGCTTTGTTTCTATTCCTTTAGTAGTTGCACAAAACATTCCAACATGCATATCTAATTTATCACAAGCTGAAGTTCACTATACAGGCTGAGAAGCCCTCATCCGAAAATCGAAATCCAAAATACTCCCCTTGCGCGTCACATTGGTGCTCAAAATGTTTTTGGATCAGGGACATTCAATCTATATCTTTATTCTTCTCTTGGACATTACTAAGACCTCTGACAACTTGAAGTTCATTTCTCTTCTCGTCCAAACTTGTATGTTATTATAGTCATGTATTTTAATTTTACTTTATTTACATACTTTGAGATAGAGTCTTACTCTGTCACCAGGCTGGAGTGCAGTGGTACAATCTCAGCTCACTGCAACCTCCGCCACCTGGGTTCAAAGGATTCTTCTGCCTCAGCTTCACAAGTAGCTGAAACCACAGGTGCGTGCCACCATGCCCAGCTACCCTACTTTATATTTTAAAGCCAATTATACGGATTTATCATGGTATTATGCAGCTAATATTTATTCAGATTTGCCAATGTACCTGCCACTTTTTTTGTTCACTTGCAAATCAGACCTTCCAGCCAAGATCACTTTTCCTTTTTGTCTTTTCTCCTGAAACTTTTACCACAAGATCACTTTCTACTACTGAAAATATCTTCAACATGTAATGAGGATTTTTGAGCTTTTCTTTTTCTAAACTTTATTTTGCCTTTATCCTTAAAGGATACTTTCAGCAGGAGTAAAGTTCTAGCTTGGTAGTTACTTTAGTTACTTTCTTTACACATCATTAAGTACATCAAACAACTATCTTCTGGCTTCCATGATGGCTCTCAATAAGGGAGCTTGCAGTCATTCATTTGAATGTAATCTGTTCATTCTGTTTACTTGCTTTAAGTTGGTATATGTGCTTGGCATGCTGCAGTTTCTATGGCTTGGCTGGTGTGGATTCTTTCTTCTTCAATTTACCCTACTTGTGATTCACTGAAATTCCTGAATCTCAAGATAAGGATCTTTTATCAATTCTGGTAAACTTTGAGATATTATCTCACCAAGTATTAATTATGCTTCAGCCTTTCTAGGAATTCTGATTAGATATATTTTAAATCTTCTCAATCTATCCTTCATTTCTCTTTCATATTTCTTGATTTTTTTTGGTGTTATGTTCTGAATATTTTCTTCTCTATTTTTCAGTTTACTAATTCTCTCTTCAGATGTATCTAATCTCCCATGTGTGGGGTGGTGTGGTGGTGTAGAATTCAATTGATTCACTTGTTTACTTGTTTCAAAAATTCTATTTGGCTTTCAAACCTGCTGGATTGTTTTAAATATTTTCTATGGCCTATAAATTTTAAAATTTGCCTTTTACTTCAAGAATAAGAATAGTTGTTTTAAAATCTGTGTCTGATACCTCCAACAACTGAAGTAGTTATAGACTTGTTTCTGCTGGCCTATAAATTTTAAAATTTGCCTTTTACTTCAAGAATAAGAATAGTTGTTTTAAAATCTGTGTCTGATACCTCCAACAACTGAAGTAGTTATAGACTTGTTCCTTACTTCCATGTGTAGGTTAAAAATTTTTAAAAAGCTACAATAAATCAGAAAGTAGAGATGCATCTTCATTAGTCATGAAAGTTTTTCAGATATTCATGGGGAGACTTTTGGGTAGACTCTGGGCTACCCTACAGCTTTTACAAAAAGTATTGTGGGAATGTTAGTTTGACCTTCTCCCTGTAAGTCTCCAGGTATAAATATTAGCAGTCAGGTTGAGGATGCGAGGCTTATGTCAAATATTTCTTTTTTGGGGGTTGCCATCTCATCAGGGCCAACTGCTTTGACTTTTAACTTGCTTTTAAATGTATCTCTGCTCTTAAAATTCATGAACTATGCCCTTACTGATATTAAGTGATTTGTCCTTTGATTCCCTTATGGTGGAAAAAAAGCCTTTATACATTAGCTTGAATTGTGATCACATTTAAAGGCACAAAAGCTGAGTATGAATTTCTTTTAAAGGCTTTCATGTTGGCTGTGAGTCCATACATTGCCTTGAAATGGCAGACTGCAATTAAACTCGTCTAAATTCCATGAACTGTACTGAGCACCCACTAGAACACCATGCACTGGCTATCAGGACAAATGAGACACAGTCCTGGTTGGATCAATAGATTATTCCCTTTTCCTTTTATCTCTTATTCCTAAGAAAACCAGGAAAAGTGTGAGTCAAGGACATTAGACAGCTCCAAGTTCAATACTCAGATGTATGTGAGCTTACACAATTAAGGAGCATTGGCTTTTAACATATGAATGTTTGTAAGTTGATACCAAAGAAACTACATTTGCTAAGAGAGTGCTTGAGCCAGGTGCGGTGGCTCAAGCCTCTAAACCCAGCACTTTGGGAGGCCAAGGTGGGCTGATCACAAGGTCAAGAGATTGAGACCATCTTGGCCAACATGATGAAACCCCATCTCTACTAAAAATACAAAAATATTAGCTGGGCATGGTGGCACACGCCTGTGGTCCCACCTACCCAGGAGGCTGAGGCAGAATTGCTTGAACCCAGGAGGCAGAGGTTGCAGTGAGCTGAGATCGCACCACTGCACTCCAGCCTGGCACCTGGCAACAGACAAGACTATCTCAAAAAAAAAAAGAAAAAGTTTGAAGCTATCCAGAGCCATATTCCTGATGAACAAGGAAATGGCATCATTATTTTATAGCTGTAGGATTCTTCCTGTCTCCCTCCTTCTTCCTTTTCTTCTCCTGTGCTCCCCAGTGTGGTTACCCACTTCTCTGTGACCCAGCCCTAAATCTAAAGCCCAAGTGCCCCAAGTAATGGCTGTGCAGATATCAACTTTGAAAGAGTGCTCTGAACTCAGTGTGGAGCTGCAGGAAGAAGATATGGAGAAGAGTTGTATGTGGACCACATCAGGAAGGCAGGTTGGCTAAACGTTTATCTGACAAGCTTTGATTTGTGCAGAGCCCACCTGCTATTTGGTGCCAGCAATAGGCAAAACTGACTCACTGTGATTCATGTGACTATCCTGGCAAACTGCAACCAACTGAAGGCCACCTAAGCACCCATGCCATGTGTGCATAACGGCCGCCATCAAGATGCTCTGAAGGACCCTTGCAGGCAGTTCAATAGTTCAGTGTGCCAGAGACATGCTGAGGTGTCTCTTTCTGTCCTAGCCCTTCTCATGTCCACCTGCCTAGAGGCCCATTGAGAGCCCGAGCTCTGCTGAAAAGGTGAGGCCCTCCTATACTACGTTACACAACACAAATGTCTCACCACAGAATCTTTCATCTTCTTGGGGAGAGGATCAGCAGCTGACTCTTCCAGATTTTGATGTAAAAACTTAGGAAACAGTCTGCATTGAATGAAGAACCTGAAAGTGGAAAAACACATAGGTTTTACTTTATCAATGACGTCCCTGGGGCAGTGTTTTTGGTAAATAACTTCACCTTAGATCTCACACCCACACATGACAAAAGCAGCGCCCTCTTCATTTAAAATCTAAAAAGAGGTACTTGTTCAAGTGATCATAATTCTCAATTTCACCCTAATGAGAGCAGTCAAGTACCTCAGCAGCAGCATCACCCTCTAGAACGGTCCTCCATCTCTGACAGCCCACTAGAGCTTCATCTTCACAAACAATTAGCAGCAGAAAGTGAACACTGAAGTAATACAACTGACACTAAAAGTGTGAGAACCATTTAACTTTTCTTTTTTCCATTTTTCATGCCTTTGATACTGCCGCATCTAATAGCCTAAAATTATGCTGTCTCTGGTCCTCCAAGAGTATGGTTATCTTAAATCAAAATTTTTCATAAATTTAAACACATTACATAAGATGCTACTGTCAGTATCGGAAACTCACTCTGGCATCACTTGAAAGACTTCCAGTGCCAGAGTACATGTGACCAAAGGTTTAAAAGATACGATGAAAGGGAAGATTGCAATGTATACGTTCACATTACTAAGGATCACATTAAATACATTTTAACACTTTGGTGCAAATCTCACTTTAAATCCAGAGGGCATTGGCCAGATTGAGAACCAACACCACCACAACAAAATAGAACAAAAATCTGGTTTAGTCTCCACAGGTAACTGCCTCAATGCAGGGATGCAGTTTAATGGATCTAGAGAAAGTATTGTTGAGGTGGTAGCTTCTCACCCAACTCACCCAAGGGAAAGTCACAACAGGGCTTGGGTGCTATTGGCCATCTGTTCCTGCCACTGTGCATTTTACTCCAAAATCAAAGGAGCAAAGCCAAAATGTTTGCTGGATGTTCACTTTTAACTGTTACTAATTTCTGGCTGGTCCTGTATTTCTCCTGCCCTCCTCTGGTGAATGACCAGCTAGTTTAATAATGAGAGTCAAATTACAATAGGCAGTGATTTGCCATCTCCCCACCTCAGTCAGGGCAAAACGCTGTGGGAACCGCGCCCCCTGCTCAGTGATGACAGCACAGGCATAGATCACTCACATGAACACAGATGGGTCACTGCTCTGCCAGCTCAGATGGTAGGAAACGGTGACCAAGAGGCCACAGAAGGCTGAGAACAGCATCAGGATGTGTTACGTGCTCCATGGATCCTAAAGAACATATGTCAGTTAGCCAAGTCACTCCACAGTTATGTGAATAACAGGATCTCTATCAAACATTAGAAACATCTCCACAGTCCAGCTGGATGGATGCGTTAATTCCTGTGATCATTCCTGCCCATGGACATATAAGTATCTAGTGGGCACACAAAAACCTCACCTGTTGGTTTATGAACATTGATTTTGATAAGGGATTGGGTAGGGGGAGTTTTGACTAATTGTAAATACTTATAAGAATAAAACTGAATCTTTCCTGAAATTAAGCTTAGGATTTTTTATAGAATGTAATATTAAACATGTGTCACTCTTCTGAATTCAATGTAACAATTATAATAATTATTTTTCTCAATGTTTATTAATTGCTAGTCTAAATGGCATAAGTATAAAAGTGGCATAAGAGATTAAACAGACTAATAAACTGAAAACTTGATGAAGATTAAAGATAGCTGAAAGATTTCCAGTGCAAGAGTACACTGTTACTAAAAGACTTAAGATATGATTAAATCAAAGATTGTAATGTATATATTCATGTTATTAAGGAATACACTAAATACATTTTAACACTTTGGTACAAATCTCACTTTAAATGGCGTAAGCAAAGAAAGAGCAAAGTTATTTGAAATGAAAAGAGAAAGGCACTTCAGGTTTAATTTGATAGAAGCACAGATGTCAGTTATCAACACATGGTACTCAGACTGGTAGAGCAGAACTTGAAAAATACATGTTACCAGCCCAAGTAGTGTGGTGGCCTGGGACTCCAGGTCTCCTTCTATACACACCTGCTGCTCCCACTAAAACAAACATGTCTCTCACATGCCAAGAAGAAAACATCTACATATTAACCGTCTCAATCACCATCAACAGAATCACTGATCCCTTCTGAAAGCTAAATTTAGTCAAGAAATTAAATACTTTTTTCTCAAGATTTTTTTTTAAGATGGGTTGTCAATTGTGCTCACATGATGTTCAAATGAACGAGTCAAGACTTAGCAGTTATCCTCTGTAACTGCTAAGATAGGCTGGAAAGCAAATATACCCTGAATAGAGCAGGTAATTTTATTTTTGAATGCTTCATTTTCTTACAAATTAAAATGTATTTCTTTTACCCTCCCCATTGTAGAAGTCTTAACGAACGAGAGCAGTACCTGGAACACAAATTGCAGGGAGCCGACTCTCGCAGAGACTGCTGAGCTGCATGGTTATAAGGTCAGGAAGTATGACTCACTGTCTCCAGACGTATCTCCACACAGATTCCCCACACCAAGACGTCCCGCGTGCCTCTCAGATCAGCTTCCCCAGAGGTCAGGTGCATTGCCTTTTCCAGCGCCCTAAGGTACCATGGCTGCATTTTTTAGATTCTGTGCAGATGTCTTCCTCACCAATTTTGTTAAAAAACTTAAACCCAGTGATGAAGCATCCTCCATGGACCTTTTCTTCCTTTGGAGTTTTCATCAGCAACTACTTCCTCCTTCCTGAGCCAAACCCTCCCCTCAGATCACGATGTCCTACTCTTTTTCATTGGTCCCCTCTGCCCAGCCGTTAAAAATACTTAAGTTGCTGACATCTTTTTTATTTTGAGATGGAGTCACTATCACCCAGGTTGGAGTGCAGTGAACACGATCTCGCCTCACTGCAACAACCTCCACTCACTTCAGAGATGGAGTCACTATCACCCAGGTTGGAGTGCAGTGAACACGATCTCGCCTCACTGCAACAACCTCCACTCACTTCA